CTGTGATCTCTCTCTCCTCTGCTGAAGCTGAGTACAGAGCCATGAGTAAAGCTGCAACTGAGGTCACTTGGCTTTCCAGGTTATTGCCTGATTTTGGTCTTCCTTCTTCTTCTCCCATCCCTTTGTATTGTGACAACCAGGCAACCTTGCACATTGCCCGCAACCTAGTATTTCATGAGCGGACTAAGTATATAGAGCTGGACTGTCTTTTCGTCAGAGGCAAAATTGGTGATGGGCTGCTCAGCTTGGGTCATGTCTCCAGTGATGCTCAAGTTGCTGATATTCTTACCAAGGCCATTCCTGGACCTGCTCATCATTTTCATCTTCGCAAGTTGGGGGTTTTATCACCCTTCAACTTGAGGGAGCTGTTAGAATATTAGATAAAGGCTGAACTATTTGGGTCATTCTTGTAACTTAGGTCCATGTCTATATTGAGTCCATTGTTTTGTATTAATTGGGCCACCGGGTCAGGCCCACTATTTATAAGAGGAGTCTCTCATTTTTGTAACCAGATTGACATTTCTCAATATAAAAAATATATATTTTCTCTCGAACCTTCTCTCAACCTATGAACCCTAGTTTACATTTTGTCAATCTCTCTGTAAATCTCGATACTTAACAGATGTTGTATTGTATTAGAAAATTCACTAAATATACTAACTCAGTAGCTAAGATAAGGTATGTGTTTCATGATAAGTTCACAACCCATAAACTTCATATTGTAGTTCCATCCCTAAACGTAACTGCGCTGGAAACTTCTCTATTGTTTCTTCTATAATGTTTTAGTTATTAAACTATTCAATACTAGAAGTTGCCGAAACAATGAAACCATGTCCCACATGTCAAGGCTGATCTAGCATAATTGCAAAATTAATTATGAGTTTATAGTTCATATCAGAAGTCAGAACTAACTAGAATTAATTGAAGGTGGAAGGAGGTTGATAGGTCCAAATTAAGCACGAGTAAGCAGCGATTATTCATAATTTCTCATCAAAGGGCCAATTTGTGTAGCTCTTTCCAAATGTGGATCCATGTAACTAGCATTTTAATGCCATTGTTCATTATTTTATTTCAAAGAAAACATTTGTCAGTCATAAAATTGATTACATACAAGAGAACAAAACTGGCTTGAGAGCTTATTAATATATATTTATAGAAATCGATGCAGTTATATAGCTAACAGCTCAATGTTCAACATGGCACTAATTTAAGCAACAGCTCCCAGTACGGTTCAGAATTTCGTGCTCGAAACCTGTGTGGGATGTTAAAACCGAATCAGAAAACCGTCCAAACCAAAAAGTCAAACCAAACCGGTTTAATTTGGTTTGGTGTTGAGTAAAAAAAGTTCGAACAAAACCGACATATAAATATATAATTTTTATATATACTTTTAAGACTTTATATAGAACTTTCTATAAAAAAAAATATCTAGAAATATTTGGGATCCCCTCATGGGAGGTAATATTTCATAAAAATATAAAGTGCATTTATTTTTATTTATTTTAAATAGTGGGTTGCATCACTTTTTTATCAAGTGTTATTGAAATGTTTCAATCATCTCTTTGTTCTTCCATATTGGTATATAAAGATTTTTTTTTTCGAATTTGAAATGGTATTTCAATAATTTAGAATTAAAAAGAACATATTATTATTTTGATATCATATTAATTTTTATGTTTAATTATTAAATTACCTCGAAAGCATATATCAAAAAAATTTATTATTAGACGACTAAGGAAATAACTATCATGTTTTAACTAAAAAATATTCTCTCATATGAATAGTTTAATAAACCATATGTTCGTCAATTTTTTCATTTTTTAGTAAACATATGTCCACTTATCAAAACTTTATCCATAACTTTAACAAGTAAGATTGAAATAATATTTATTTAATAAAAAAATGCGAAAAAACGAAAAACCCAACAAAACCGAACCAATTCAAACCGATATAGTTAGTTTGATCTGGTTTTGATAAAAGTCGAACCAACCCGGTTCATGTACCCTACATCCGTGTATGTGTGTGTGAATAACTAGTATAAATTAAGTATATTTAGAATTCACTCAAAAACTTTCAAAATGTAGAGTACCATCTAATTCTAGATTTGTCGCTAATATTTTTACACATTAATAAGTATAAAGTTGACTTTTTTCCACAAAGAAGCTTCCCCCCTACCAAGCATTATGGCTAACAACTAAAATATTTATTCGGCATGCTACATTGCCTACATTGGTATTAAACAACGCAAATAATAATTCCTTATCAGTTATCACACAGTTGACATTTCTTCCTGACGAAGCTTCCCCTTATCAAATATCAAACTTCTGGATTATAAAACAAACACTACTAATCTTATAGCCTGCTTAGATAAGATTTTTTTCATTCTTAAAAGCCTTTTTCTCATAGATAATCAGTAGTATACCTCTCGACATAATAAAGTAGGAAAATTTATTAAAGAAGTGCGAGAAATATTCTTAAAAGAGCTTCTTCGAAATTTCTTTCGTTCTTATCGCTCCGGATTCCGATCTATATGACCTCCGGGCGGTACAAAGTAAACCAATTAGCTCCTCCCGATCGTATCTCTCAAAAGAACCAAATTCTTGTTAGCGATTATTTATGATAAAAAATATGAAATTATGAAAACTCCTTTAAGCTTCTTTTTGGCAAAAAATATTTTTTTCCAAATTTAAAATATTTGACCAAGCTTTTAAAAGGAAAAATATTTTGAATAGAAGCAATAGCAATTTTTTTTTAAAAAAGAAGAAAAAAGTAGCTTTTTCCCAAAGCACTTTTATGAAAAGCATTTTGAGAATAATACACTTTTAGAATCACTTTTAAAAATCTTGGTCAAATATTAATTGCTACTCAAAAGTATTTTTCAAATTAATTAGCCAAACACAAATTGCTTTTCAAGAAAGTAATTTTTTGAAAAGTAATTTTGAAAAAATATTATTTAAAATAAACTGATTAAGCTTGGTCAAACAAGCTACCATTAGTCTTCTTTATATACGATTCTTGTTCGAAAAAGTGAATATCATTAAAAGGTAAAGGCTTTTCTCCGCTTGAATTTGAAAATTTCTTTTATGCTAACAAAAGGCAACACAATGAATGGATTTTTAAATTCAATAATATACCTTTTTCATTGATTTGATCTTCAAAACGCAAAACGTGAGAATATACCATTTGTTTGATGTCACTCAAAGCATGACTCTACTAAATAATGACATCATAGTAGCAGCAAGGGGCCATAGCAAGTTAGCAACATAGACAGTAAGAAACAATAGCACACGTTGAGTAAAGAATGGCATATCAATAAATTTACACATTTTAAAAAAAAAAGAAAAAAAGAGGGCAACCCGATGCACAAAGCATCTCGTGTTCACGCGGAGTCCGAGAAAAGGCCGCACCCCAAAGGGGTGTGATGTAGATAGCCTATCATGATGCAAGCATCAGTGACTGATTCTACGGCTCGAACCCGTGACCTATAAGTCACACAACCGATATAAATTGAAATTATTCAACAACTATATAAGATCAGCAAGAATTCTTCTGATCATATAGCTCATATAAACTCTCTGGAACTTAGCTCCAATGGCACCAAACTCAGTAACAGATCTAGGAGAAAAGAGCACCATTGGGTTCTGTAGTGAAATTTTCAGAACTCTATGATTTTCTTTTCAACTAATACATAAAGGGGACCAAAACCTTTTGAATTTTTGTTTCTGATACATCGATCTTCTTTTGAATTATCAGACTTCTTATGTTAAAAAGATAATTTTTCTTTGAACCTGATTATTCTCTAGCTTAATTCTCCATCTTTCTTTCTAGTGCTAAATGATTCAACTATAACTCTTCCCATGGTGTCTGGAATAATGAGATAATTAGCCTTATTTTTCATCCCAAGCTGGCAAGAATATGGAAAGAGAGTCTCATAAATACACAGCATGAGAATAAGATTATCTTTCCTTCCCAACAATTGCAGGAAAAGAGCAGATTAAACTTTTGATAGAATTGTTAGGGGTCGTTTGATTGCAAAGTGGGATATCTAGGGATTAACAATCACAGGATTATAATCCTGGGATTATTATCCCACATCCTATATGGGATAAGTAATACCACCATTTTAGTATAAAATTTGTACTGGTATTAGGCTATTAGCTAATATTCATAATCGAACATGTGATAAATACAGGACTATAATCCTAATCCCGGTAACCAAATGACCCCTTAGGATTCAAATGAACAGCCAAAGAAAGAGGACCATCTTCTATCTTTATGCAGAATAATGAATGATAGGCTAACGGAATTGGTAAGATCATACTATACTACTCAAAATGAATATTGATGACAATTACATCAGAGCCCAGATGGAGCAATGGAACAGAGATGTGAACTGACGAAATTATTAACATATGCACGACTTGCCTTTTCTTCTTTTTCTTTTGTGGTGTCCAGGCCAGCTTGTATGCACTTGGACTATTCCATTGGATACTAGCTACCTACCAACAACATATGTACCAGGTAACTCTACCACCAAGGTTTAAGCAGATGAGAAAAAAATATCTTGCCTTTCTTTCATACATCATCTCAATCAAGACGGCAATATGCTAGGCTTAATAAGACAAAAGAAAAGTAACATCTAAATGCAACAAACTGCACCTTAAACGCCTTGTTTCCGGTTCACAGTAAGACAGTAGGTACAGTAATCATAGGAAAAGCTGATGATGCCAAAGAAAAATAAGGCAATGTTATAAAACTGCATAAGTAGTATGATGAAAACTAGGTATGGAGTGCCATCCATGTCGAGCCTAAACTTATGTGGGCTGTTCTATGCCAATCAAGAAGAGCAATATCTTTGTTTCTTTCCCTATCTCCTTCAGGACAAAACTTACACCACCTCCAAAGAACAGTTTCTCATGAACGAATATCAAATTAAAAAGACTAGTTGCATGAATAAAAAAGAGCATGCAAAGATAACCATAACAAACAACTATATCTTGGATCAAAGACAGGAAGTAACCTTTCCTCTGCCTCAACCAAAAATGAGCTAGACAAGGATTAACACACGTACCAAACTTAAACAATTTTTGCTTAAGGAAAACCTTTGCATCGAGAATCTGTTATCCATGCATGAAATGGTCCCCTATGGAAATGCAACAACCAGACAAAGTTATACAATTCCATAGAAGAAATAGGAAACAAAAAAAACCTTTAATAACGTTAGCTCAACTTAATCAAAGAAACAAATTAATGACTCGAAGGGAGACAATCTCTAAATCGTCGCAGTTCTTTGCCTGACTTTAGCTTTCTCTGCATCAATAATAGACTCCATCAACTTAACAGAATTCTCCAACTCCCCTTCTCTATTCACTACCACATAATCAAATTCCTCCATATGCTTCACTTCCTCCCTAGCCGTGGCAATTCTCACAAGCAAAGTCTCTTTAGTCTCAGTCTTCCTATCAATCAACCTCTTCACTAATGCATCTTCACTCTCCGCCACTAAAAACACAAACACTGCAGATTTACCCAAAATCCTCTTCAACGTCGCTGCCCCTTGTATATCAACTCTCAACACTATATCCAATCCTTTAGCCATTTGATCCCTAATTTGCTGTTTTGGTATACCCTTATAATCCCCGTACACCAATGCATACTCCAACAACTCATGTCTCTCAATCATTGTTATAAACTCTTCTTTACTCACAAAAAAGTAATCATTTCCATCAACTTCACCGGGCCTTTTACCCCGGCTCGTAGCAGTAACAACAAAATGCATATTCTCCCTAACTTCTCTAAGCCTTTTAATCACCGCATCTTTACCAACCCCACTCGGGCCACTAACCACAATGATCAAAGGATGAGGGTCGGGTACCAATGGACCTGAACTAAACGGCGACCCCACCGCCGCCTCGAGGGCCCGATACAATTCAGCCTTATCGGCAGTTTCAGGGGGTGGTATAGGGACATGGGCGGGTCTTCTTGCATCCGCCATAGCAGGAAATGATGACACTAAACGTTTGGTTACAAGAATTGGCCTTTTTTTCAAGATTCTTGGTGTTGAGAGGAATTGTGGGTTAGGGTCAAAAACAGCAAAAGGGTTTTTGAGATTTCGATAGAGGAGAAATGGATCGCGGCTAGAATTTGATAAAGAGGTGTAGAGCCTACGAAATTGCATCGAGTTTATATCGGATGAGAGGAGAAAAAACGCTGGGAAAATGGAGCGTGAATTTCACGGAGATGAATAGAGAATCGGAAGTAAGGACTGTTAATGCGGGCTATTAGTTTGAGAATCTTTGACTGGCTGGGAGAAGAGATTTCTAATCTAGGGTTTATCCAAAATCCCAATTCCCAATTCCTCACTTATTTGCAATTTTGAACGGCCTTGTTTCGGGTCAGGGCGATAAGCGATTGCTGATTTTCTCAGCTTTTTTGAGGTCTCTATTTCTATTTTTATTTAAAAAGTTATTCAAATATAATCTTAGCGTTTTATAACCGAAAGAATGAAAAATTTACTCATGTCAGTTGTTGATAACTGATCTAAAGTTTGGATAAATATTTACTTGGTTATAAATAAAATTTTTAATTACCAAAAAAAATACTAATACATTATTAATAAATTAATTGAAAACTTTATCCAATAAAAAAATATGTATACGATAATAACTTTTGATCAATAGAATAAAAATATACAAGCATATTTGTTAGTGGAATTGAGTGAATCTTTAATTATAAAAGTAACATATTATTCTTTAATATATGTGGTGCATTAAAATTTTAAAAATATCTGGTTTTATTATTGGTAATCTTAGAAATTTTATGTGGCTGTTACGGAGGGGTAATTTACAAAGAATATTGTATACGGTCGAGATCGAGTTCGCCTACAATATGAAAGGACAGGCTTGGAACATGACAATGCAAGACTGAAGACACCGGGCTAGAACCCGGGATCAGAACACCTACCTTCAAGAACATTGAGTCCGAGATCCCGGAGTCAACCCTAGCCCCGAACGAGCTAGAAGAAACATTGTTAGCATTAGCAACATAAGACCGAAATAATCGTAACCTGTCAGATGTTGCGGAGAATCTCGGCGCGTGTCAGTAAGGAACCGGCAATCAGCAAATCAAGGTATTTTTACCTTTTATAGAATTGTACCTACACTAGGACTCCTCTAGTATATAAAGGGGGGGTCTGATAATTCATTGAGGACATTGTAGCACGCATTCCAAAGCAATACATTATTATTCTCTTTAAGTTCTTATTCTTCTGTCTTGATATCGATCGAAGTGCATTTGGCTCGAGGGTGGCTAACTTTCTAAGGCTGAAACTGTTCAATTCGTGTGGCTTGCATTTACTTTATCATTATTTATTTCAATTGCAATCTGATTTATCATTTTGTGTCAAGTTAATCCACGTATCCTTAAAATCACTTACAAATTCAATTGTTATCCGATTTTGAGGGTAAACAGTTTGGCGCCCACTGTGGGGCTAAGGATAATAGTGGTTATTTGATATAAATCTCCATAACACACACTACTTTACATTTGTTCTTTAAAGTGTCTCTAATTTCAGGTTAAAACACAAAATGTCAAACTCTCAATCAGCACCCCCATATGTTGACAATGAGTCTGGTCATCATGGTGAAAATAACGACGTAGCGTTCGGTGACGAGATACCGCTTGTTGATCTTATCAGAATTTCGGCCGCGGACCTGATTGACGCTAATTCACATGTGGCTATCAATACAAACCTGCCTACCGACCATGAGAATAGCATTTGTGGTGGAGCCCAATCAGCGACTCAAAATACACAAAGCATTGGAGGAGACGAGATCAATTTATGGGTGATCTTCGAAATGTTGCAGGCTCAACAGGCGGCGATAGATCAGTTACAGAATCAAAGCCGTGTACCGAGCAGAGTCAAACCCGATCCACCCCGGGAAGTCACCAGCAGGGATGAACCGGTCACTGAAAGGTCGACTGAAAATGAATCGGGGACTAATTCCGAGATCATAAAGATGCTCGAAGAACTGACAAAGCGGGTAGAATCATGGGAGAAGAAAATCAAAGCTAATGACAAAAAGGTGGAAACCTATAATTTCAGGGTCGACCAAATCCCAAGAGCACCGCCGATATTGAAAGGCCTGGATTCCAAGAAGTTCGTGGAAAAACCTTTTCCTCTGAGCGCAGCTCCAAAGCTGATCCCTAAGAAGTTCCGTATGCCCGAGATTCCTAAGTACAACGGAGCGACCGACCCAAATGAGCATGTAACCTCCTACACAAGTGCCATCAAAGGGAATGATTTAGAGGTTGATGAGATCGAGTCTGTCTTGTTGAAGAAGTTCGGAGAGACCCTGTCAAAAGGAGCTATGATATGGTATTACAACTTACCTCCTAATTCTATTGACTCATTTGCTATGCTTGCAGATTCTTTCATGAAAGCACACGCCGAGGCTATCAAGGTCGAGACCAGGAAGTCAGACCTCTTCAAAGTAAAACAGAGGGACAATGAAATGCTCAGAAAGTTCGTGTCCCGATTCCAAATGGAAAGAATTGACTTACCCCCAGTTGCGGATGATTGGGCCGTTCAAGCTTTCACCCAGGGACTCAATGTTCGGAGCTCGGTGACTTCACAGCAGTTGAAACAAAACTTGATAGAATATCTGGCTGTTACTTGGGCCGACGTGCATAACCGGTATCAATTAAAAATCAGAGTCGAAGATGATCAACTAAGGGCCCTTTTGGGGTCCGTTTATCCTGTTAGAGCCGTCGATAGAGCTAGGAGAGACATTGATCGCGAACCGAGATCAAGTAGGGATCATTATCAACCGTACAATGGAGATCGAAGAGGTAACGGATCCGGGAGAAACCCCATAAGAAGTGAAAGGAGGAGTGATCGAGGTCAAAGTAATCGGGGACTCATGGGCAAGAATGATTTCGGCATGCTTATCGAGCCTAAGGAAGCACCGACGTTATCGAAATATAACTTTAACGTTGATGTTGCCGCCATTGTATCAACTATCGGACGTATTAAGGACACCAAGTGGCCTAGACATCTACAATCCAATCCAACCCAAAGGGATCCTAACCAGGTATGTAAATAGCATGGCACTCACGGTCCCACCTTGATATAACAGGGATCCCGCTGGAAATAACCACTCACAAGTTAAGCCTGGACCCGAAGTTCCATTCGGTCAAGCAAAAGAGGAGACCCCAGTCCGAGGTCAAACATGCTTTCATCAAGGACGAGGTATCTAAACTCCTTAAAATAGGGTCTATTTTGGAGGTTAAATACCCGGATTGGTTAGCGAACGTAGTGGTAGTCCCTAAAAAAGGGAATAAATTAAGAATGTGTGTAGACTATAAGGATTTGAATGAGGCATGTCCCAAGGACTCCTTCCCTTTGCCCAACATCGATCGCATGATCGATGCCACTGCCGACCACGAGATCCTCGGTTTTCTTGATGCCTACTCCGGGTACAACCAAATACAGATGAAAAGGAAAAAACCTCCTTCATCACTAAATACGGCGCATACTGCTATAATGTGATGCCATTCGGGTTAAAAATTGCCGGTGCCACTTACCAACGCCTAGTAAACCGGATGTTCGAGCAACAAATAGGAAATTCAATGGAGGTTTACATTGACGCTATGTTAGTTATGTCCCTGCGAGTAGAGGACCATTTAAAACATTTGCAGGAAACTTTCAGCATATTGAAGAAATAAAATATGATGTTGAACCTGGAGAAATACGCGTTTGGAGTTGGATCAGGTAAATTTCTCAGATTCATGGTATCTAACCGGGGAATCGAGATCAATTCCGACAAAATCAAAGCCGTCGAAGATATCACGGTTGTGAACAACGTGAAGGCCGTGCAAATATTAACCGGATGCATAGCCGCCTGAGGCGATTCATCTCGAGGTCCTCCGACAAGAGCCACCGATTCTTCTCACTATTGAAAATGAAGAATAACTTCTCATGGACCCGGAGTGCCAACAGGCCGTGGATGAACTCAAGAAGTATCTATCGAGCCTGTCTCTGCTTCACATGCCGAAGATAGACAAACAACTATACTTGTACTTGACAGTATCAGAGATAGCGGTAAGTGGAGTCCTGGTCCGAGAAGAGAAAGGTACGCAATTTTCAATTTACTATGTTAACAGGACCCTAGGTGAGGCCGAAACTAGCTACCCTCACCTAGAAAAGAGGGCGCTCACTTTTCTAAGCGCCTCTAGAAAGTTAAAACCATACTTCCAGTGTCACCCCATATGTGTCGTGACTACTTACCCATTGAAGAATGTTATGCATAAGCCCGAGCTCTTGGGCCGGTTGGCCAAATGGGCCGTGGAAATCAGTGGGTACGATATTGAATATCGACCTCAGACCTCCATTAAATCTCAAATTTTGGCAGACTTTGTGGCCGAATTAAAGGGTCCGGACTTGGCATCGTATTGAAGCCACCAACAGGCAATGTAGTTAGATAATCTATTAGGACTGTGAAATTGACTAACAACGAGGCCGAATATGAGGCCATGATTGCAGGTCACGAACTAGCCAAAAGTTTGGGGGAAGAGGTGATCGAAGCCAAGTGCGACTCCCTCCTTGTGGTGAACCAAGTTAATGGGACGTTCGAGGTCAGAGAAGATCGAATGCAACGGTACCTGGATAAGTTGCAGGTAACATTACATCGGTTCAAAGAATGGACTTTGCAACATGTACCTCGGGATCAAAACAGTGAGGCCGATGCCCTTGCTAACTTAGGATCATTGGTCAAGGACGACAAGTTTAACTCGGGGGGCAGTCGTACAACTCATGAGATCGGTAGTGGAAGAAGGCCATGCCGAGATTAACTCAACGATACTAACTTGGGACTGGAGAAACAAATATGTAGAATATCTTAAGGCCAGAAAACTTCCCTCGAATCCGAAAGAATCGAGGGCCTTGCGTATGAAGGTAGCCCGATTTACTCTGTCCGAAGACGGAACACTATTCAGAAGAACATTCGATGGTCCACTCGCGATATGTCTAGGACCGGGAGAAACCGAGTACGTCTTGAGGAAAATCCACGAAGGCACCTGTGGAAATCATTCAGGCGCCGAATCATTGGTTTGAAAAGTAACCAGAGCCAGCTACTACTAGATCAATATGGAAAAAGATGCGAAGGAGTTCGTACGAAAATGTGATGAATGTCAAAGACATGCTTCGATGATTCATCAACCCGGGGAGCTACTGTATTCGGTTCTGTCACCTTGGCCATTCATGAAGTGGGGAATGGACATCGTTGGCCCCCTTTCATGGACACCCGGTAAGGCTCAATTTATATTATTTATGACTGACTATTTTTCTAAGTGGGTGGAAGCCCAGGCATAGGAGAAGGTCAGAGAAAAAGAAGTCATCGATTTCATTTGGGATCACATCATATGCCAGTTC